TTTTGTAACGAAAAAACAGAAAATAATAAAATAATTTCACCTTAATATAGCCACTCAAAGAATTAGTGAGTAGAGAAAGCTTGCTACCGTGTCATGTTGATTAAATTTTAAAGCATACATTCCGACCCATTCAAAATCCTACAAAAGAGAATATTAAAATATTATGTATCCACTTAATCTAGGGACCTGGAACATCAAGCTTATAATACTCAAAGAATTTTGTTCAAGATTTTGTCTTGTTTATCAAGTTTGTCATGATAAATTAAAGAGATTTTTGAATAATTCACGCTGAAATTGTATGTTTTATTAAATACGATTTTATTTGTTATGAATTTCAAAGTTAACCGACTATGTACTTTAAAATTTACGCGTGCATTAAGGTGATTCTAGTACATGACGTCTTGTGGTTGCTTGAGGTGTGCAGCGTCTGTTGTTTAATAGTTCTTCCTACTTTTAATTTTTGTGTAAACCGTTTAACCAAGGAAAACAGTAATTCTGAAGTATTTTGTATGACGTAAACACGGATTTAGTGATCACAGAGCATTAACTAAATTTGATTTATTCATACGTTCCAGAGTATGTTTATTGCAAATACTCCCTGTGATGCGATATTCCTTCTGCTTCAGCAATATTCTTTTATTTTTAGAATTGCTTACACAGAATGTTTTAAAGTAAATGTTTGAACCGATGTAGTTTATTGATTATCTCAAGCCTTTCATCTTGCTCCTCTACAATTCTAGCAAGAAAATAACGTTACGGTGCTAAGTTATACTGTACACATTAACATTAAAATAGTTATCCTGGTTCAAATTTATAACGTAATCTTAAAGAATTGTTAAATAAATCTGCAAAGAAAATACGACCTGGAAAGCATATATTTTTGTTCCCGACAGATGGTAATAGCTTTATTGATTTTTTCTTGTGTGCGGATTATGTGTGTTCTAAAATGTCTTTTCATCCAATGAAGAAACAGTCAAAATGCTGCCAACAATGCTCCAGACATATCATTAACTGGTTAACTGTTTCGAACCTTAGTGAAAGGATTCTTTCAACGCTAAAACGTGATTCGCATAGCAATATCGTCATTTGATCTAATTGTTCCCCTTGGAACGTATTGATTTTAGAAATTACGTTTTACGATTTTTGTGCTCGTGCTTTTTCATCAAACGTCAGCATTTTAAACTTTGTTACGTAAAATTATCACTGAAATTCAAAGTGTCTTTTCCATAATCAAGTTTTACAAGGGAATTAATTGTAGTTAAAAGCTTGCTGGATCAAGTCTGCAGATGTAGCTTACAACGTAAGGAGCTTAACAATACCCTCAATTGTGTGGATCTTGTGGTTTCCGGTACGATTCAGGAGTTGAGAGAAACGCCATATGTAGCTGTAATATAGTTCAATTTACGCGACACTTGCGCTGAAAACTTTTACAAGGGATGAGCCGTGTTTGCCAACATGGGCAATTAAAATAGCAAAAACTGCACCGACCACCGTGGATAAATGTTCGCATATATACACGTGCAGAAAAATTTGTCAGAGTTGTTTGTTTGCCATGGGAAAACGTATTTCGTTGTGATCCGTGTTCGCTTCCCAAGAGAATCATGCAAAGGGAATTGGGCGGTGTTCTATTGCCACGCTTAAATTGAAAACCAAGAAGAAATTTCACATTTCCTTCTGCGATTATGTAGCTTTGTGAATAACATATGTGATCATTGATCAGCAATATGAAAAAGAGGGGTTGCAAAAAGTTTTTGTTGATATCGTGCTCACTGGCGTATTTAGCTTGATAGACGGCCCAAGGCTGGGATGTTTTGACATATCTTACGTTTTTACTTGTTTATGTTTTATCAACTCAACGAACACAATTCTATTTCGAATAAAAGTTTAATATCAGTCGGGGTAAATGTCGCTAATTTTTAAGAAAATAAGTGAGAAGCTCGCAAACTTCTTAACAAACACGTACGCAGTTCTGTCGGAACATTTTATTATTCACTAAGTACAAGAACATTTGGGGTACAGAATTACGTGTTAAACATATAATAGTGATGTTTGTTGTTCACATAAACAACGTAACTGACCCCTTGTGTGCTGTATTTCTGTTATTTTAGAAAAGCATTGTGCTTAATTCCCATAAAGTGTGTGTTTTCTAACTGTTTCATTGCATAGACAGAATAGACACTACATGCTCGGAAAATGTTAGACATGTAACTATAAAATGAATGAGTACATGAAGGAGTGAAGGGGAATTAAGCACAAATGAACTTGTTGTAGTAAAATAAAACTGTTACTGATTTACAACTACTGACTGAAATAAAGTAAACGGTATACTGAAAAACACTATTTCACAAGACATAAGAAAGTTATCAATCTTTTTTTTTAAAAGCACCCTTTTTAAAACAAAATTACTTACAATAAAAGTTACATCAAATGGGGTGCATTCAAATCATCGTTACCGCCCATACATTTTGCAGTAACAACATAACCACCGGTGCTGGGCACAATTTCAATCTCCCCAAGGCTATAACGAGTGATAGCTTCAATTATTATTAATCGTAACATGGGTTAAGCGTATGAGAGAATGTAATGACAGTCATTACCTTTTAACACATAACGTGCAATAAGCGCACTACCCGAAACAATACGCTTTCCAGCTGTTTTTATCACGTAAACGTTATTTTTTTATACAAAATGTATACACTTTCGAAAGGCCAAAAATAAATTTTAAAAAATGATAAAATGTTAAGCAGTCCTGAGTACCCTGCTACTTACATCTTAATCATTACTTAGTTCAGGGTCACGCTGCCTCTGCAAAATCACCACCAGCATCTGCATCGAGCATGCTGCCTCTCTTTCTAAGAAATTTATAATTTATTAACAAAATAATTTAGCTAATTTCACAAATTTGCGTTTCTTGAACATCGTGATATCCATTTTGGCCATTTCATTCATACTTATTTTACTTTGTGGTTTCTGATTTTCTCCTATTTAAAGCAGATAATCTTATCTAGAACACCTACCTACATTGAAACCGGTCCCATTCTTTTCAAAACAGGTCATTAGTCATCTTTGAGAATTTCTCTTTCTTGCTGCGAAAAGAGACAGTAGTTATATGTTACCGTTTCTGGCTCATTTTGACCTCATTTGACCTGAACAGAACCTCCATCATTTTTTTGTTGAGTAATTTGAGCTACAGAGTTGTGCCATTTCTAGCTCAAATTGATACAGAGTTGTGTCATTTCTAGCTCAAGTCGATACAGAGTTGTGCGGTTTTTATCTCAAGTCAAATTGGTAGACAAAAAATGAAGCCCCTTCTGGCTCGGTTCAAATGAGGTCAAAGTGGGCCAGAAGCTTCATCATATAACTTATGGAGACAGGCAGCGGAAGTGTGAGTGAAACAGACAGCAGTAACGCTGTTCAGTTCTTACTATGTTTATTTCTCTCTTGTTTAAATTGATATCAACGCAACATTAAATTTTTATTTATCTGTTGTGGTCTTAGTGGAAACCTTCTTCTAAGAAAGGTCTTTTTATTCGAAACGTTTGAGAATTAGGACAATTTTCTTCAATTTGTAACGCATAATCACTGAAAAACGACTCCCTACCTAAAAACCTTAACCGATATTACAGTGTTAATTAATGATTATGGAGAGTTAACAACGTTTTGGCAAGACAATTGTATTATATAATAAAAAATTTCCGATACTAAATTTCAAAATAGCTTTTAATACAGTGTCAACACGGTGTGCTTTTGTTTTGATGTTTATTCATTGGATATACCGTTAATTTAAACGTAATTATATCTGTGATATAACAAAAGTACAAAATATATGTTTGACCCAAATGTATTCAATTAATATGTAATTGTTGTCGAGGTTCAACTGTGCAGATGAATATTCCACAAACCACACAATTAATTTATAAACGATATTTTCTATACAAACCGAGTATGAAAGCAAAAGCGTAGCTAATCCATGTAATTTTTCTGTTGGTTTCACAGAAAGAAAACTTTTTGGTTTGGAAACATAGGTAATTTCCCAAAGAAGTAATTCACATTATGTCCGTGGATATTAGTCTGTCGATGTTAAAAATCTTCAGTTAGCTGGAGCAATTTAATTAAAGTCAAACAATATGGAACAGAGACTTAGAATTCTCCGTGATACTAATTCCTGAAATATTTGAAATTGTATGAGCGATCTCAATTTTACCCGAAACCCTCCACAACTTATCCTAATCCAGTTAATCCTCATTCGCTACCTGTCCTATTTAAATCAATACTTATACTAGCGTTTGCGATGCATAATCCAGAAAACTGAATCAGAGCTATAGCTCCTGTAATCTAATCAGAGGTTAGAAAGACATGTCGGAAAGTAATCGTTGTTACTACTTTCTCTGGCATGAGAAATTACTGTTTCTAGACTGAAGTCGAGAGCAACAATACTCACTGAATTATTATTACTGTAATATAGACGTGTAAACATGTCTATTTATAAAGCTGATGTATTAATAATTGCACAAACTGCGGTCATGACGCTTCCCTCCCTTTATCTTTATTCATAACAGTTGGTTGTAAATTGTTGGTTACCATTTTATGCGTACAATTTCCCTTGGTTATAGTCCCGTTGTTAAAATTACTGTCAAGTAAGTGCCTAGTTTTGCACAAGACACGGCACTATACAAAACTAATTTATAACTTCTTACATCTTAATTCATAACATCACAGAAAGTTATGAAGCTTTTGGTATTTACTAGAAATTAAAACAGTTAGCAACTAGAAACTACAAACTCCGGGCGTAGAAATTTGTCTTTTTTGCGATTTGGAAAGTAAAGAAAGTTTAGATATTTTACAACATGGTAATACAGAAAGGCGACTATATTTAAATTTTGCTTGAGTGAGTTTTCATTAAACATGCACTGCTTTCGAAACTTGCAAATATTTTAACAAAAACGTAATTATAATCTGTATGAAAATGCAGCATCTACAGCGATGTTTTTTGTTCGCAGGTTGAATGGACGGTCGATACGAATTGAACTGGTTTGTTGACCCTGACTGAATGAGATGCAGCATGTCTTGGGGGTGGAGCAGCGCACTTGTGATTCTCATATTGGTGATGAAGTTGTGTAGTGCTTGTCCGGTTTCCTGTTCGTGTAAGTGGAAGAACGGTAAGCAGACTGTCGAGTGCATCAATAAGGACCTCTTCGTCATTCCCGAAGGTATGGATTCGAGTACACAAGTGCTCCAGTTTTGCGGGAACAATCTGCAAACACTGCACGGAGACAAGTTTCTCAAGATGGATTTAATTAATTTACAAAGGATATATCTGTGTCGATGTCGCATTACAAGCATAGATGACCGAACGTTTAGGGGCCTAACAAACCTTGTTGAATTGGATTTGTCTGGCAACTTGCTCGAGACTGTGCCGACCGAGACGTTCCTCGACTGCCCTTCCCTAATGAGGCTCACACTTAATGCTAATCCTATAAAGACGTTACGGAGGGCCGCATTTAACCATCTGTCTTTCTTAAACACCATAGAGCTTAGCGATTGCGAAATATCAAACGTCGAAGAGGGAGCGTTCCAGGGTCTATATAGTCTCGAGTGGTTGCACCTGAACAGGAACAAAATGACTACATTACAAGGCACCAGCTACTTACCGGAGTCTTTGAAGGGAGTCCAACTTCAAGAAAATCCGTGGGAGTGCGACTGCCACATACTTGAACTTCACGCTTGGTTGAGAGCTTTCACTATGCCACATTCTGTCGAGCCCCTCTGTAATGGACCAAGTCGGTTGCGGGGTCGCACAATTAAATCCGTGCCTGTGGGAGAGCTCGCATGCTTACCTGAAGTTTCCCCGACAATGTTCTATTTAGAGATTGGAGAAGGCAAAAATGTGTCGCTATTGTGTCAAGTGAAGGCAGTTCCGGAGGCACGGATATCCTGGACGTTTCAGGGCCAATTGTTGCAGAACGACAGCATGATTGCGCCAGGTGTGCATCTTTTATATTTCATCGAGGAGGGAGCCGTCGAGAAACGCAGCGAGTTGTTTATTTACAATTCCAACACCGACGATAACGGGACATTCATATGTAATGCCGAAAACGCTGCAGGCTTGGTGCAGGCAAATTTTACCATCCGAATTATCGTGAAACACGACCCTCCTGCAGTAACGAACGAGCTCCCTTTCGAGTTCGTATTAATTACAATGTCGGCAGCGGCCATATCCGTTCTGCTTTTGTTACTGGTGGTAATATTATCCGTAATAAGGTGCCACAGGAACGCGCGCTTAAAAAAGAAGCGCAACAATTCCAAGGTCGCCCTCAGCAACTCCACCAAAGACAATCTGCTCCAAGACAGCATCGACGACTATTCCGAGAGCTACAAAGAGTCGGCCGGAATGAAGCTGGTTAGCCACGAAGAGGAGACGATGCTCTACAACGCCCAACCCAGCGAGGAGCTCTTAAGAGCCGTATCGCCGGTCGCAACCTCTAATCTGGCGAGCAGCCCCTCGTCCCTCAGACGCTATCAGTTGGAGCAGAACCCTGACCTCATTAACGGCACCGAGAGCGTCGGCAGATTCAGAGAATGCGAAACTTACCACACGCCCCTAAAGAAGCATCTCGTGGACTTTAAAGGGAACGACCGTGATTTATACGTGTACGCTCCAGACGTTCATCTTAATCCCGTTGGATTGCTGAATCCTGGAGACGCTCGATCACAACACTTTAATGGAAATTGCTATAAGACGCTCCCGTACAATAGGGCCAATAAACGATCAAGCGCCGCCAATCCGCTGGGCAGATACTCCAGAGAAGCCGAGTTCCTCTCGCGAACTATGCAGCATCCGGCGTCTTACGAACATTACAGTGCAGACGTACGCTACACGGCTGACGGGTATCCGGTACGAACGACCCCTTCGTACGTACCCTCGCCCAAGGCCGACGGTAACGCGGAACCGTGCTGTTCCACTACAACCACAATCAACTGGCCGTCGTGTGTTCCATCGGGTTTCGTTAAAAATGACAATACCGTTAAGAGTGTCGGTGCTCAAACGCAGACTGATGAGACAAACACCAACGTCACCAACAAACCCTTAAGCAGTTCGGTGAAAGTCCAGGAGACATTAACTGAAAGTCTGGATGAGGGTTATGAAGGCGAAACTTTAGAGAATAACGCCAACTCGTGTCAAAATTAATCATCTTTTAAGACTTTACTAAGTGGAGGTGCACTACATTGTGATAACAACTCGAAGATATTTTTTTAATGTTTAACCGACTGTAGTAATCTCACAATTATTTATTTCTAAGTGGGGTAGTTAGCGCTGTCATCTTTTTTATCTATCTACAGAGCTTCTTACATAATTACATCTTTGGCTTAAATTTTAAATAATAATTTGACAAAGGAGCTTCTTTATGTTAATGGCTTCGAATCTATGAAATTAATATATTTTTCATATCGATGATGCTGGCTATAGTTCGCATTTTCTACACAGAAAATTGCGGCCAAGTTCACTGGACTTCAAAATTGTTATTTTTAACTTAACATATCGGTTCTCAGGTAAGGTGATTTAGCTTCATATAAAAGGAAGGATGTTTGTTTTAGCGCTCACAGTATCGACAGGGATTTGATAAAATCCCATGTATACATTTTCAACCTTTTATGCCATATATTTTTTATCTTTTTATCTTTCCTTATATGTAGCATTAATGTTTTAAATGACTAATTTTGTAATTTCTACTAAAGTTTTTGGTCATACTGAATTTGGAGATGATGATAGAATATTGATATATTTCTGTGGTAAATGTTTTAAGAAAGTGTTGTAACAGTTGTAAATAGACATAAATTAAAGTTCTATAAACAAATAAATTATTTCAATAAAATCTCAGTTCTTGATCACCAACCTAGAAAGTTATAAAATTAGATTACTGAAAATTGAAGACATCACAGTTTAATCTCTGGTTGAGCAACTTACTGACATATAAAATATCCCAAATATAGGAACTTTAACTGGATTTTTCAATCTGATAATTTGGTTTAATGTAATTACCAAATTTAAAAGATAAACGTACTATAATTTCAGGAACATGTGAAAATTTATTATATCTTCTGTTATTTTTTTTTTATATAGGAGTAGCTTCTTTTTAAGAGTGACAACACAAACAATACATTAATACATTCTAAGGCCATTTTATTAACATTTTTATGTTCTTGATTCACAACGCAGATTAAACTTTGCTCTGAAGTAATGAAACATATTTTAATTAAAAATTACAAAACAAATACTCCTAAAATATAATTTGTGCAAGTAAAACACTATAAATCGTTTCAGAGAAATTATTTGATTAATAAACTTTATCATAGAAATCAGAACATTTGGCGGTAGCGTGGGAAGTGCCTTTAGCGCTGTTTAACACGGAAGTATCTGTTAGCCCACTAGTTGTCCACAGGCATGGACTAAATTAATAACAATCGATAAACAAGAGACGTTCTCTTATTTCACTGTCTAATATAACCAACAAAATTTAACGATCAAAGCAAAAAGTGACACCCTTGGATGATCATTTCCTTTTAATAAACTAGATAGAAATTCCAGAAATTGCATTTTTGCGTTGTATTTATTTTGAAAGTACTGAGCTTAGTTCTTATTAAGTAAGTCATCAAAACGGAAGGAATAAACTTTCGCTGAGTTTTGGTGAGACGGGTATGCTATATTTCATTCATTTCGCCCACTCCGTAAGTTCTGCTTTGTCGGTAAGATTTGACTACCCGTTTATTTTGCTTGTAAAATAACAAAGAAGGCTCCCTTATCTCGTTATTACTTATTATTATTATAATTTCAGCTAATTTGTTGTATGAGTTTTTGGTATCACACAAAGTTTGTTTAAGTAATAAAGAAATTTTGAAGCTAATTTTCTAAATTAAACATAAACATTTTACACCCACTCAGCTGGAAATAAATGATGTATCCTCCATTCCACGAATGAAAAACAGGTTGCTAATATTGTTTCTGGTAAAAATCTTACATTAAGCTGTAGTCAGCTGGTACTTATATTCGCTCCACTGAACAACAAAATTTTAAATAAGTAACTGACGAAAGCTTATCCGTTGTCACTCACCGAACTTTAAAATTAAACAGCGTTTGACTTCTTAGACATAACAAATTAGCACGAGACACAGATCTGTTTCAAATATTAATTTCTGATTTATTTATTATTCTTGTGTTCGCTTTCGTCTCAAAGTAAATTGCGAGAAAGGTACAGCAAATTAAATCGTAGCGTCAAAAGCAATAAGTTTATGTAACTGGAAGTCTCTACAAGTTTCCTTTAACATAATTTCATATCTACGTTCAGCATTTAATAATATGAAAGCATTCAAGCATTTATAATAATTACAGTTGGAGAAATTAGATCAATTTTATTGTAAAGTTGCTGCGAAACAACTTCAAAACGCGATATTATAATTTTAGCATCATATTCTCATAAATCATAACCAAATGTTGTTCTCTTTACCTTTCTAAATGAATTCTGCCGTCGCTAGACTCGAACAGAAGCGGAGTGGCTGTGGGAAATTCTGTACTCTAAAGACGACAGAAATATCTTTTGTACTTTTATTAATGTTAAAAGGATAGTTTTCAGTTTATCGTGGTTGTAAACCACTGTAAAGCTTTATAGTTACTCAAGGTAGAACGGCAGAAATGATGTAGAATATTTATGTCGTATTTCCCGGACCGCATCAATAAACATCACTCACACAATAAAGCAATGAAATAATAAACTAAATATTTTTTAGAAATCTTAAAATAATCGTTTTCATTTATATTTTGAATATTTGTCCATTGAAGTTTGCGGTATAAATCAAAGGCCGACGTTAAAGTATGAACTACAAGGCAAGCTAACTATGAAAGGGTTTTATGCATATTTTAAAATTATCACGTTTTTTTGAACATGAATTTTCCATTAATGGTACAATGTTTACTACTTGTTTAATTACCTTGCTGTAGGAAAATTGTTGAATAATCATTTTTCGCACAAGAGTTATTAGTTTACGTTATAATGCAGTGTGAAAGAAAGTGCTTTAATTTGTGAGTGCCATTACTACTCTCACCCACAATTTATTTAAATAGTTATTTTTTACAAATTTGAAGTAAATTGTTTTACGCGAAATGTACACTAGACAGTCTAAAAGCTCTGTAACAGTGGTTCTGCCTATTGTTAGATGAAATAATACAAAAGATTTATTGTTTATTGGGTCAAGTTTTATTAAAGGCGTTTGTATTAACTGCCTAAAATACGATGTTAGTTTTATTACTTGTTGTTCAAGATCGTTGCAAAGCATTGTTTCATTATGTTATGATTTAACCTCGTAACATGTAATTATTTTTGCTGGTAATTTGACATCAAAGTACAAAGCCCTCATTATGTTATGTAACAAGATAGGAAAGTGCACTCAGATGCAAGTGTAAGTATAAAGAACCAGCAAACGTCTGTAATACAAAACTTGATAAATTAATCAACATTCTGTACCTGAAACATGAAACAAAATTGAACGAAATCCACCTTCTATCAGAATTTTATTATAATTTTAGTGATGATGAGAGTAAAATGAGTAGAAGGCACTCCATGGCTAAATTGCGAGTTGACTTACATCTTACAAAAATATGGAAAGTCATCTCCATCAGGACACTTAATTACTTTACACCGGTTGTAGTGGCTAACCCGGTTGGACAACCAACTGGCGCAAAACCCGAGTAGGTTGTCCGCCTTAAACATAAACGTCAATATTAACGATTAAAGTAAGTAGTAATAATCAATATTCGTGGCACCGTTATTGCCACCAATGTAAACTTCTTTTGATAACATACAACATTCAGTGGTCTGTTTTAATATCGTTGCTTATGTTGTCCTTCTGATTAATTAGCTCTTATTTGTTATTTCGATTAAACAAACCTCTTCCATTTTCACAAGATAATAATTCACAAGTGCAAAGTAATCACCAGTTGTTGATGAAATTTGCCTTTGGAATATATTAACTAATTAAATTAAGAACTGTTTGATCCTCTAATTTTAGTCTGCATCCATCTCACCAAAATTAAGACTGTAAAAGTAACAATTCCATTTCTTAAACGAAAAATGTTCATTCCACCCAGACGGATTCATATATTAACATTACAATGTTTATTCATCATGTGACATGGTATGAAGAGACAATTTTGCTTTTTGAATGACTCGCTAAATATTAACTCGATAAGCACAGACATTATAAACATTATATCGAACGAATCTCTCCCTATTCCACGCAAGTGTTCGTTTTATACATACAAATGTATGATGAAACGAATTTTACTTAATTTTTTTTACTTGTAGACTGCACATTTTTAATATTCAACCTTAGACTAGGTTGATTTCTTATTCTATAAAAAAGACATGCTTTATTTAAGACTTGAAACAGTACGTTTTTTATATTGGTGTTGGTTTCTAGCTCCTATCTCCAGCAAGTGTAAACTACAACGCGTGACACCATCGTTTTCTCATTCCAATTTATTTATCCTCCAGAACTCAGATGTTGGTCACAGAAAATAAAATCGTTTTCAGCAAGTCCTTAGATAATGTAAAATAAATGGTGTAGTTCACAAAGATTCATTTATTATTACTGCAGCCAAATTATTGGATTAAGGAATAACAAATGTTAAAGTGGTCTGGAAGATAGTAAAATTGTCATTATAACTAATTACGATAGCTATGAAAGCATTTATTAATAACATTTAGTGCGGAAATAATCAAATTCGTATCTATCATTAGTTACTGGAACCATTAATATGCAACTAATGTAACATTAATTGACGGCAAATGTTTACGAATGAATAACAACTAGTTTGTTTACGTGCCACTGTAAATGCCGTGCATCTTCCTGCTCTAAACGATGAAATATTAATTAAAAAGGGTCTGCAGTTCACAAGAATTTAGTGTTTTATTTGGAAGTTCCTTAAATAGTTTAAAAAAGATGACAGTCGAAGGGGATAGTACAAATTTTGGAAGTTCCTTTTATTTTGTAGAATTTTCTATCTAAACTAGCAATTCATAATCACGATCCCTCGTAGAATTGAGACTAACATAGAATGATACTACGTAATTGCCGAAAATTAGAAAACTACTAATTTAAGAACCAATGTAATTTTAAGTGTTGTATTACTTTTGTACATATACTGTACGTAACCCAGAATAAATTTGTTGTATTAATATTAAAGTGGTTATCTGTGTTTCGTTATTTATGGCTACAATGTTGCTCATTCAGAGCGTGTCTGTTTGATAAGTTGATAAATTGGGGTTTCCAATTGTCCAACTTTATAAAAGGGGGCGTGATCTCTGTGAAATATTGCCTCTTTAGTCAGCTGCACACCATTTTCCACACACTAAATCGCCCTTCAGGTGTTGCAAATCAAACAATTACAGCTGGAGCGAGGTTGCATGCAATAAAGAATTCCAAGTTTGACTTCAGTAAACAGACGTGATTGTGAAAAAGTGATACACGTCTTGCTAAAATATTAGGTAAGAAGAGTTCTATGACCAGAAATTTAACTCATACGTCGTCGGAAAATTGTCATTTTGTTGCAAAAGTCGCTGTGGAGGTTTATTAAACTTTGGCGCTGTGTTTTACTTTTTTTCAGGAAATCAACATATAATACAACTACGTCTACTGGTTTTTCAGCT